CATAGTAGCAATAAAAATTACAATCATAGCACATAGTAGGCGTAGTCATAGTAGTAGTAGTAGTAGTAGCCGTAGTAGTAGTAGTAGCAGCAGCAGCAGCAGTAGCAGAAGCAGCAGCAGCAGCAGCAGTAGTGGCAGTAGTAGCAGTAGTAGTCGTCGCGTGGTAGTAGTAGTGGTAGTAGCAGTAGTCCTCGTCGTCAACAGCAGCAGGAGCAGGAGGAGGAGGAGGAGGAACTCACACAAATTCACTCGAGATCAGTCCTTCACATCCACGAACTTTGTGGGCACCCGCTTGCGCACCGTCGCATGTATCTGCAGGGTGGCAAGGTTCGGAGGTCATGTTTTAAGGGAAGAACAGCGACTTAATGCACCTCACCTTCTACAGTCCCTGAGTTGCAGAGCAGTGCACCAGGCATTCGCCTGGCCGGACTCAGCATCCTCGTGCGTCTCGTTGACGCTGTCGTTTCCGCGGAATCGCACCTTTCGAACTTCGGGCGACTTTCGGGCGGCTTGTGGCAACTCGAGCCGGGCTGGGGCCTCTCGTTTCGGGGACGAGTCCTCGTCATCGTCCTGAGCCTCCATGGAACCAGATGGAGCCAGATGGAATCCGCACAGACAGGGCTTTCCGGCGCTTGAAGTCTGAGCTGCACACCAAGGGCAGCTTCGGAACGAAGGCTGTCCCTTGCCTTTTCTTCGGAGAGCGCTTCAAAGCCTCGGCATGAAAGCCGATGAGCGGAGAGCGGGGAGGAGGCTGACCTGCAGGTCGCTCTGGACTAATTAAGGCGTGCTCGTCTCCTCCCTCTTCCTCTTCGTGCTCTCCTGCGAAGCTCACCTCCAGACTCGGGCAAAGATGCACCGTTTCGGAAAGGAGTCGGACTCGGGGCCGGCGCTGCCGTCGCTTTTGCCTTGGGGACGAAGGCAGTGGCCTTGCGGCCGTGCGCGGACCGCTTGGGCCCGTCTCCTAGCCGACGGCTTGCGGTTCTGGCCTGCATGTGCTAGCCTACATGGTTGCCGGGAACGGGGTTTATGATGTCCCCTGGTTTTAATTAAAGCCGGTTTTGCTATCTAAACGCGTTTTATCACGGAATTGGGTGTTTACTACAAGAGGCAGTTGGCTAGGATGAAATATCGGAATGGGTATGCTATTAACGGCCGAGCTATTGGTCAGTTGTTTGGGCTTCAGGGTTGAGAGGCAAGGAGTCGCTGTCGAGAAATCTGCCAACCGCATCTTCAATATTCGGCTGCATTAAAGATCCGACCACTAGGCGATTTGGTTTGATTGTAAAAAAGACACAACAGGAAGGCCTTTTCGGAGCAGAACCTGTGTTGAGTCCTTGAGAAACCCCAAAATGAAGATTTGTAGACAGTCACCGGGACGACGGACGCGTCTTGAATCCCACACCCGCCAAATAGTACAGCCGCTGCCGGCGCGTCCTTCGTCATGCCCTTCTACCTCAACTTCATCAGCATCATCATCGAAGCTGACCTGAGGTTGTCACATCAGGAGAATGCTTCATGTGTTACACCGAGCTCTGGGTTCTGTCACCCCTGGTGACTCAACGTTACTGCGACATTGGGCCTACGAGTAACAGTACGTTGGTGGGAGATCACTGGATACCGGGAAACCAGGAAGCCTTCATCGAACTCCGAGAAGAAAGCTCAGGTCGCGACACCGGGTGCAGCCCTCGACTTTGGGACAAACGCCGTGGCTTTCCGGCCATGTGCAGACCGCTTTGGTCCGCCGTCATCTTCCTCCGCATCTACCTCTTCCGCAGCATCCTCGAAGGCAACCTGCTGCGGAAAACAAGACATTCGCACCTGTAACAGACTCAGGGGATTGCTGCAGGTTCATTTGCACGGGGTGCAATCAGGCTCGGTTCTGTTTAGGTTAGAAGCCGTTTCCAACATCTAGAATCTAGCGGCTAGGCAGGACAGCATCAGCACGACTGGCTCCAAGCTGCATCTCTTGTGTGTCGCTCATGCCGCTTGCAGATGCCGATTTTACACTCACAGACGGTTCTTATGTAACTCCACGAGCGCTCACCTGACACGATTTAACAGGCCCGGCTGCATGACGATATATGACGATGTTGATTGTTCTTAAATTGTTCTCGGTTTGGGCCCGGCGATTGGATCCCGGCCCCGGCCGCCGGGGCCTGCCCGGTTGACACTTTGGCCTTCTTGACAAAAGCTGTCGGCTGGCGTCCATGGACGGATCGCTTTGGCGTTTGGTCAACTTCGACCTCATCCACGTCGTCGTCCTCATCATCGAATTCCACCTGGGCGCAAAGTAGCAGCGCAGCAGCTCAGCGCACATTGGAGCAAGAAGGGTCGCTTTCCCTGTCGGCTGAGTCTCGAGCTGAAGCCATGGGCTTGCCTTTTGGCACGAAAGCCGTTGGCTTTCGCCCGTGGACATTCCTCTTGGGTGCATCATCCTCATCCTCATCCCCATCCACCTCTTCCACATCATCTTCGAAGTTGACCTCAAAAACGCATCACAACGAAGGAGATGGCAGGTAAAGCCCTCGGTTTGAAATTGTTTTCAAGTGAGTGTCTTCTGCTGGAACAAACTGTTTTCAAGTGAGTGTCTTCTGCTGGAACAAACAAGGCTCTGGCGCCACTGCTGGCTTGTGCCTTCGGCACAAACGCTGTAGGTTGGCGTCCATGCACCTTCCTCTTTGGCGTCTTATCTATTGCAACTTCTTCAACATCCTCAGCGTCATCTTCAAATTCTACCTGAGGCGGAACTTCTGAGCCAAGTTCCCAACCGGAATGCAGCATACCGCTGGGAGCCGGGCGCTTGTGGTCGCCCGTTTTGGCACGAAGGCCGTGGCCTGGCGCCCATGTACGGAGCGCTTTGGGCCGCTGGCGTCCTGGAGAACACGGAACCGTTACACAGGGAAAGATTCGTTGCGAAGCTGAGTTTCAACCCTTCTTCTGGGCATCGCGGAATGCATCACGGTGCTTTGCTGAAACAGTCTGACCAATATATGAACATGGAAAAGCACGGCACAATCCACTTGGGGTTATCTAGATGCTTCAAGCCTTATAAGTCTTGCAGTTTACATCATTAAGAAGGTTTAGGGTTTAGGAGAACTACCAGGGTTTGGGCTTCATGGGGAATTATGGGACTTAGGGCTTTCTCGCTCTTTGCTCATGCTGCCATAGGCTGCGACATGCATTACTTAAAAGCCTTGGCCGGACTCCGGCCAGCAGGCTCCTTGGGAGCCGCTGTTTGGGCCCGACTGCTACTTTTGGCTTTCCGCCGCGGACTCGGCTCCAGTCTACGGCGTAGAGTTTGGGCTGTTTGTCTCCAGCCTCACCGGAGCCCAGGCCGCGCCGTTCTGAGACTGCTGCCCTCTTTGACAGCCACCCCTCTGCTCCTGCAGTTTTTCCTCGAAGGACGCCTCCGTTTTTACCTGTTTCGAAGCCCCTCGTACCTCGGATGCCGAAGTCAACCTGAGGGGCACCCTTTCAATCTGGATCCCGGGTCTGCTGCCTCCACGGTCTTACGCTTGGCTCTAACCGGTTGTAGGACCAGGCCGTTGTTATGAGGAGGACGCCTCGTCGCAGGGGGCCTTGCTTCCAGTCGCCAAGGTTTGCTGAGGCTGGAAGCTTGAGCCACGGCTGACACCCCAGCTGCTACCGACTCCCGCTTTTCGGAGGCGGAGTTACTCCCGGGAGCTCCACTAGTGGTGGCCTTCCGCCCGGCTTTAAGGTGATAGTGTAATCTTTTATTTGAAGATTGTTCCTGGTCCACCTCATAGGTCTCTGCCTGGACTTCCTGAAGTCTCTGAAACTCTTGCGCTTCAGTCCTTGGGCCTCCCTCTCAGCATACAGTTCGCTTGGGGGTTTCTCGCTCGTTGCTCTCCGCAGCCATAGGCTCCGCATGCACCTAATTAAAAAACCCCGGATATACGCCATCTGCTGGGTGCACTGATTCCTTTGGAAACAGGTTACACCTCTACTCGGTCCAGCTGGCCCTTCCGTAGTGGCCTATTTCTGGCCAGGAGGAGTCTTCCATCCCTGAAAATGGTCATGCCTTGGGAGGCTAGCAGCTTTCCGTAAGGCCCGGCTCTTGTGGCAAAGACCGTGGGCTTCGGTTCTCGGAAACAATTAGTTTTGGTTGCCAGTCGGAAAAATCTGGGATTCAGCTCTGGGAGCTTTTGTTGTCTTGCTTGTTCTGAGCACTCTCAAGTAATTACCCAAAGTTAAAAGGCAACTGGGATAACTCTGCGTTCTTCTTGCCAGCTTTGAGTGGCATGCAACTGAGTACTGGCCCTAAATAGGAAAGGCCGCTGTATGTCTTGAATACGTCCCGTGATCCCAGAACAAATTTGAAAGCAGGAACAGTCTTGTTCGGTTTCGGGTTCTGCTATTACCTCAAAGGATGTGCCATAGGGTTCTTCGACAGGGACATGTTTAAAGGGGAGCAAATTGACGCTATCTCCCATTTGAAGAAGACATCTACCATGTAAAGTAACTTCCGAAAGGTTAGCATAAAATTTAGAGGGCGAGTTTTTTACAAGTCAACCAGAAATTAACAAATTAATTCCATTCGGCTTGCGCCAAAGCTTTTTCCTCCCAACAATGAGTTCCACAGGGAATGAGAAGAGACTCGTAGAACGATAAGAATGTGGCCAGAATCCAAATTTCGCTAATCAGTAGGAATCGCGGATATGGATGGCAGTAGTTATAGGTGAGTAGCGATAACTCCATTGGTGCGCAACGTGTCCCCAGTAGTGGAAAAAGGCGTGAGCTTGCACCCCGCGCCACGGTTTATGCCCAACTGCTTGGGCTATCATCCGGCTAGCCCTCCTACGTGTAACCCAATTGGAGGGCAAAGTAACAAAAGGGTCCATAGAGAGCCCGCAGACAGAAGTGAGCAGTGTGGCTGGCATACCCAGGAGCATATTATGAACATCAGTAACCCGCCGAAGACAAGGAGCTAGCCATCTCCATTTGCAAGCAACGAAAGTGTCAAGGAGAAGTCCAGCAGGACTCTTTAGGATGCGATAATAGCCCCAAAAAGAGTTTGGTGCAAGAGCAAGACGGGCACTAAGCACTGCTTGGCAGGAAAGCTTAAAGACAATGCGAACCCCCAGAAATTTATACGAAGAAACATAAGTAACATTCACGTCACGGAAAACAAGGGGACGAACGCCAAAGCCTGGGGATGCGATGAACTTACATTTGTCTAACGCAAAGGAAGCGCCAATGGAGAAGAGAACCGACATGATGTCATCCAAAATTCGAGCGGCTTGCTCATACGAAGTGGCTAAAAGTATAATGTCATCGGCGAACAGAAGATTATAGAGTGAACGAAAAGCGCCATGGGGGCATTAGGGTCAATGGATTGAATCCAAGTGGGCTCAGTAGTTGCCCAACGGGAACAAGAGAGCCAATAAAAAACATGACCGTCCTAGAAAAGAGCTCAGCAGAATAAGAGGATCCTTGTAGGACTCCTCGAAAGAGACTCTCTTCCCATGAGGTATCGGAAATACTGACAAGAACGCGCGAAGGAATAATAACGCGGAGAAGAAAATGTGACTCAAGATGGGGGCCCCAATGACAAAAAAATGGGGGATGTATGAGAAAGCGTGTCAAAAGTAGACGCAGCATCGAGCTTGACAGCGATCAATGGTAATTTGTACTCCTGACGGAGGCGCAAGGCGCACAAGATGCTGGAGGCATGCTGAGCTGTCCAAAATTTGGGATCCCTTTACAAGCTAGTTGATTGGCGACCGGGAGTGGAAAGTGAGGGCGGGAAGCCGGATTTTGGTGAAGATTTTACCTGGGGTGGACGAGAGAACAATAGGACGAAGATGTTTAGGCAATGAAGGGCGCGAGATTTTGGGAAGGAAGGTGAGGCGAGATTGGAGCCAGAAACCAGGAGTGGGGTCCCAAAAAGAATGGAATTCAAAACATCCGCAAAATGCTGGGCAAGATCAGACTTAACTAAGGCAGACATGAATTCAAACGAAATACCATCTTCGCCACAAGATTTGCCTGTCTGCACAAATTTAAGACATCTGTAATTTCTTGGACTGTGATCAGGAATGTTGCTTGCAAAGGTTGATTTTGAGAGCAAAGGACCTGAGAAGGAAGATCAAGTGGATCTAAAGCAAGGGGAATATATTTAAGGGCAAAACGACTTCTCAAGTCGGAGATAGCCTTCTGTTTGCGTCCTGCCCTATAACAGACTGTCGTCTATTCAAGTAAGAGGTTGCATGGAAGTCCTTTTTAAATGCACGGTTCATGAGAACAAGGAGCCACTTGGACTTGGCTTCTTTACGAAGGGCTGTGATTTCCTCACCTAGATCTCTAGCTTGTCTGCCCACAAAGAGTTTTCTTTGTCTTATTTCCTCCGGCATGGAGGGAAGATCAGAGTATCTCAACGATTTGGGACGAAATGAGCATGTGTCGGCAAGCTGTTCCAAAGTGCCCAGATCAAGGTCATTTTGGGACAGATCAAGGGTCTCAGCTAGCTGTTGTTCTTCAATGCACAGCTTCTGAGAGTCAACTTTCCATCTACCACATTTATTGTGTTGACGTTTTTCCTACCTACAGATTTCCTCTCACTCGCCGAAAACGTTGTCCCTGCTGTTACTGCTCTGTGATCGCACAACTGAAAATCAGAATCCTCAAAAACATGTTCAGTTTCAATGGCCGAACAGGAAAAGCCGAACCAAACATAATCTGTTTTCGAAACAAAGCCTCGCTGATTCGACCACGTGTGAATTCCTGGTCTTGTTGAAACAAGCCCTTGCGTTTGAAGAATCGAACTGACAATGAAACCCAGGAGATCCAATCTCATAATTGGTGTCAATTAAGATCATCACTGAGTCAGTTAGGCGCCTCTTAGTAAGGGTTTGATCAAGCTCTGCCTTAAAAGTCTGCCAAACTTCGATGCAATTACTGCGTTGACAGTGAGGAAGGTGTGCGCTAATCACGAATTGCTTGCAGCCATCCCATCCCATCTTAAGGGTGACGCAAATGCCACAGGACGAAGGTCGAACATGATCCACAAAGGCAAGATACTGAGAAGCGCCAAAGCACATCTAGATCACAATCAACTACTTTCCAAAGGATGGAGAGATTGGAAAACCCTCCCAGCTCCTGCAGTCCTAGGGTCCTAAATTATCCATGCTTTCCATACCCAGAACCGACCAAGTTAATTTTAGGTCCTCAAGACTTTTGCCTTGAATACTCCATGAAGTTGAGTGAAACAAGTTTGCTCGGTAAATCACCTCAGAATGTCAAGTGGAAGCACGTGCTTCCGGCGACGTGGGACCCGAGTTAAGCGACAAGTCCTGAAGTTGTTCGACAGTTTTGCCAGTTACCAGAGAAAAGGTAGGAGCTTTGATGTGCCAATTCATGTGACTCCTTGTGGCATCCTCAATACAAACATCATAGGGCTTCGATTCCCCATCCCGCTCGACCGAACCCACAAGCTGAAATCGGTCAAAGTAAACCTTGCCATTCCATGAAATCTCAAGGGCACCGTCAGGAATTGTCACGTTGGAACCTTTTTCGCGTGAGGCCCGGTAGAAAGTTTTAGTGACCAACCTGCTCTCACCTTTGTACGTTCTTCCGGCGTTTTACTTTTTGTTGTCCATAGTTTCTCTCCTTCACAGCCCGGGATGCCAATGATAAAGTTCACAGATTTGAGCTTCTGGATGACCGTGGTTCGCAAGTGCCTCTTTACAGAGATATGGGCTCCTGGGCCAGGGAAGTTCAGCTTTACCTTGACAAAGCTAGTGCGGTTGTAGGGTGACCAAATGTCACCTGCGAGCTCAGGTTGGTTGATTGCGGAGAAGATGTTTCTTGTTTTAGCAATGGCATCTGGTTTCCTAGCATCATTCCAACCGCCTATAACAGCATCAAGGTCCTCAGGGTCGGTGGAGATTCCTGGCAAAGCATCTCTATCCCCCTTGAAGGGACCCTTTGGCGACCTGGGAGAGGGAGATCTGGTTCCCAGTCTGTTCGGGCTGGCGATCTGGAGCGTCCCCTTTGTTCAACACCAAACTCGGCAAGCTTTGCTAACATCTCCATAAGTTGTGTTTCCAAAACCTTGACGTGTTCGTTTGTTTGCTCGTGCTTGTTGGTGTGTTCATTGGCTACGTGTTCAAAGGAAGAAATTCGGACTCCCTGAGCCTGGACCTCAGCAGTGAAAGTCAGAATGTTTTGTTGTACATCAGCTTGAGAGTGAAGCTCTTGGACATGCGCCATGATTTCTTGAAGCCATCGGAGGAGCTCCATCTGATGCTTGGGATACATAGGGTGCTCCTTGTGCCAAGCCAGATTGGTTGGGTTTTGAGTTCAGATTACTGCCACAAGCAAATCTCGAAATCCCTGCAGCAAAATGTGGAAGTTGAGTTGCCTGAGCACGAGGGATTGAATTAGTGGGCAGAGTATTAGGGTCCAGGTGATTAGGGTCACTAATCGGCACATGCGACCAATTCATCCCTGGTTTTGAAGTGGTGGCAGTGTCATCTGCAGATCTGCTTTTGGCAAAGGGCTCTTGTCAAGCTCATCAGCATCATCATCTTCGTCATCTTGGTCAGCTTGGGTAGCATCTGGTTCATGGATTCCAGCTGCGCCTTCATCACCTTCGGACGTCAAGTCGAAATGCGGCACTGTGGAAGCTGCTCGTGCAGATGCGGGCGAATGCACGGCAGGAATGTCAACATCACAGTCTGCCTCAGATTCTTTATGCGTGTCAATACAATCCCCCGGTTCGACGGCTGGTAGGTTCCATCAACCATCACTGCATCCTTCTGCTCAAGCTTGGGCTTCTTGAGTTCGGGAGTTTCAGAAATGCGCGGTTTACGAACTCGGGTTTCAGCGTTTGCGCTTCGAGTGGTCGGCTCAAGAGCCAGAGAATGTCGACCTCCAGGCAGACGTGCTGTAGAGGCGCAGGTATTCCTGACTTCGGTCGGAGCAACACCGGGGTCTCTCTAGCCAAGCCAGCAGAAACGCCAGAGACAAGCCCCAAGAAACGCGCTGTACGACAAAATGCACCCCAAGTTCCGAAAGAAATCAAACGCTTAATAGGTATATGCACCTTCACTGTATGACAAGTGATCACTCGAGCCGAGACTGTAGCCATTTAGGGCTTAGGGTTTCTTCGCCTTTTTTCCCTTTCGCATGGCTGAGGATCTATGGCCGCAAGCGAGGATGAGTTGAGTACCACGATGACTGTGCACAATTGATAAAGATCGGCCCCAGCACATCTAGCCCCAAGAAATCAGAAACCTGTAGGGTTCGCCTTTGGGCTTAAGGGTTTAGACTCTCGCAACTCGGGCAATGCAAGCGAGGTTGGTCCATGGTTCGCAGGGGAGGCGCATGTGGCCCCAGTTTAAGGGTATTTTTTGTTTAGGGGTTTGTGGGTTTAGGGTTTAGTTTACGGTGCACGCTTAGCTGCCTCGCCGACCCCCCCTCCCTTCTGCGGAAACAGCACGAAAAATCGCAACTAAGTAAGCAACAAAAAGGTTACAACTAACCCAGCTACCGCCAAAGGTGGCTGCATGGACCACATTGCAACACACGCTGCTAAACTGGTAATGTGCCGACTGAGTACTGTGGGTGAATCAGATGGCACGATTGGAAGGTGTGAGCCATGATATCATTTCAATGTCCTCCTCGACGTCCATCTCCTCTGCATCGTCATCAAAGTCGACCTGGACCAACACATGAGCAGTACACCCTCAATGCACAAGGGAAATTGAGATCTGAGTACTGGGCATCTGCAGTTTTCTTTGGAGCGAAGGCCGTAGCCTGGCGCCCATGGACCTTTCGTTTGGGTGTCTGGTCGACCTCCACCTCTTCAATATCTTCTTCACCCTCGAAGCCGACCTCAGCCGTGCCCGACCAGGAGGTATGTAGGAATCAGAATCTGGAAGGCCTCTTGTCTCGTGAGAGGCTCCGAACCGGGCATCCACACTCCACTGGCCGGTGGCGCTGCAGCAAACGCCGTCGGCTTCCGGGATTTGACTTTTCCTCAGCTATGTCGGTCCTATTGCAGGGTCTTACAATGCCCTACAAGCTACAAGACGCAGCCGCATGGGCCCTCCGGACCCTCATGACAGCACAGAGTGCTTCAGCCACGATGCTTGGTGCTTGGACTTCTCCTCATGGTGCAGATGCTAGGATACCAAGCCAGTCCCCCATGCTCCGGCGTGCCCTGCCGGGCGTAGCACCGTTTGCGAAGTTCGCAAGGGAGCCTCGACCATCAATCTCGACGACCTGCCGAGCACGAGAGCTTTGGAGCGAGACGAGTGCCATGCTCTCGGGCCGGTGCGCTCTCTCGAGGCCGGAAGGACACGCCTCTTCGAGACGAGCCCTGAGCAGAGGAAACCAAGAATTCGCCGTCTCAGAGCTCCGGTTATCGCTGAGCTCCGCTGCCGAGTCGCTGGACTTCGGGCTCAGAGCATCCTCCAGAATTCCAGCATTCTGGCGCAGGAACAGAACAGAAAAGTCTTGGCCCCTTGCTGACTGACTTCTGAGTTGCGCGACCTCAGCAAGGACCCAGTCGATGTTGCAGCGAGTCTATACTCCATAGATCGTCGCTTCAAATCAATTCTGCATCTTTCAACCCTTGAAGCCTTCGTGCTGTGGATTGATGTAACACAGCACGAAGCAGACGCGCCCGTGCAAGAGTAATAGCCGTCTTTCTTCGAGACTGTCTACATGTCACGGAGGGAGTCAGGAGCTCGCGCCTCCTGCTGCAGCTCCTGGCAGAGCGACTTTCACTCAGCAGTTTTGTAGATGACGTAACATTTGAGCAGGTCCTGGTTCAACCAGCTACGCTCTTGCCGCGTGTGGCGAGATTCTAGTGAAGAAGGGACAAGCCGCGGCACTGCACGATGTTGATGACAGGAGGCTCCACCGAAGCATAGGTGCATCGAAGTTTGCCTTTGGGTTGTGGAGTTGCCGTGGCTTTGGCCAGGTTAAGGGATCTCGCCCCGGGAAGAATCAGGCCGGAAATCTACTTGCTCTTGCGGCTCTGAAACAGATTGAAAGAAAGAAACAGGATCCCAACCGCGGTCTCCAAGTGTAAAGTCCTGCACTGCGGCGAACGACTTCTTCCTCGGAGCAGGCATTTGAGAATAAACCTTTACATCTATCTATTTACATCTGTATGTACGCAGATGTATGTATGTAGATGTGTGTACATAGAGAGATACACGCGGATACACACATCCAATCTGCTCATGTTCTGGAATTCCAGAACTGAATATTCTTGAGAGATTATAGTTCATTTCAGAACTCCAGATTTCGTAAGCCAAGCTCCAGAACTTCGGCTTTTCGCAACCCAACAGTTCCAGAATTCCGGCTTTCTCACAACCCACGAATTCCAGAGCTCCCGGTTTATCGGATAAATGAAATCCGGAGTTTTGGAATTGTTGGGTTGCAGAGATATCTGGAATTCTGCAACTATGGCGCGAGTGCCGGCGACTTCAGGCTTAACGACTCAAGCCCAAACTAAGAATCAGAATTCGGCACACAATTAAAGCTCGGGGTCTGGGTGCACAGGCGCAGCGGTCTTCAATTTGCAGCTGCGGTCCCGTCCTCTGGGGCTACTCTTATCTCTCGACGAAACGTCACGATGCAGTCCATAACAACTTGCAGGGGAGCTTCTTTATCCCGCACTAAGATATGTGACCACCCTGCAATCCCATAGCAAGATTCGTTCGTGTTCATGCACAAGTACAGTACAGATACATCCCCACACACATTCATAGACATGCACATGCATGTGTGCATATTTATATATATATGTACACATGTGTGTATGCATGCATGTATGTATGTAGATACAAGTACATACATGTACATGTACATATGCAGATACTGGTAGGTAACCATATACACCGACATACACATTGACGTACACGCACACGTGCACGAGACAGGCAGGCATAGAGGCATACAAACATATAGGCATGCAGACATACTTTACTTACGTGCGTTCTGCTTACATACAGCACGTACATACATAACCATACATACACAGTTACATACCTACATACATACATAAAAGAAAACATAGTTAATTACCTACATACAAACACCTGTTGGTACTGGCCCTCTGGGCAGGGTTTGTGCGGATTTTCTTATGTTCTGATTCTGACACACTCGGAATTCTTGGACGGTGATGCACGCGGATTTGTGTGCGGAGGTTTTGTGAGGGAGATAGAACCTTCAGAAAATCCGCGGCAAAATCCGCGATAAAATTCACAAGAACATCCGCGAGACAACCCTACAGGGACATGCAAAGAAATCCGCGAAAAAACTCGCTGAGCAGACAACCAACCCTAAACACCTACATACGTACATACATACGCATGTACAGACATGCGAACGTGTATACGCAGAGGCACACGCATGCGTATGCTCATGTGCATACACATAAGTTTACACATATGTGTAAAACATGAACAATCTACAACCCTATGTGTGTACGTAGATATGTATATATACACACACATATATATATATACACATCGATGTACATATATATATATGTATATATATATATACAGAGTATACATATATATATATATACATATATATATATGTATATGTATATGTATATGTATATATGCTTACAAATATATGTATACAAATATATATATATACATATGTATATATATATATATGGATGTATGTATCCATTTTTATATTCCCTCATACAGTTATTTTCCGACCCGCTGCAACGCAATGCTTATGTACTTGTTTGTTTATATCTCTCTCTACATACACACACATATATATATATGTACATGTATATACAGATATATATATATAAACAAATATAAATATAAATATAAATATATATATATATTGTTCATGTCGCTGCTAGGATGCGAAGAAATTGACCTGATTTTCTGTTTGTGCCAGGAGTTGTTTGATTCCACATGATATAACGAAACGAGTAGCTGTTCTTTTGGTGATACAAAGGGTCAGAAGATCGTCACACTTCAACTATTTAAGTAACTATTTGGAATATGGTGGAGGGAGATACTTCTTTTCGGAAACATTCAGAGAGTTAGACATGCCCCGACTCGGTTGTTTTGATGTTGGCAGAGGCCTAGCCACTGATAAGGGATGACGGAGCCCTCTGGCTTTTCTGTTACGAACATGAATCCAAATATCCAAAACAATCGAGCTTTCCTGCGTCTTTCTCAGTTGAGAACAGCTCTACTGTTTTTTCCAGCTAGCAGCTAGCGACCATCTGTGCGGCCAGGAGGCGCTTTTGCGAGGCCCTGCTGCAGCTCCTGGACCTCATGAGATGGAAAGTGGGTGGCCATTTGGTTGAAGTTTACGAAACACATCTCTAAGTAGTAGCAGCTTCGGATCTTCCTGTGCCGAGTTAGCCCTGCCCAGGCTCTGCATGAATCACCAGTTACCTTTGCAGAGAACCCTTTTCTTGGGCGTGTCTTGCAGCAACACACGGGCGCAGCCAGCGATACGTGCAGCAGAGTCCGGGAGGTATCATCTCGAATCACAGGGTCATGACCTGCGCCATTCTGAGCTAGGAAAGCTCTCATTCCTTCAGGTTCTCAAACCAGGCATTCATCCTGGCAAGAGATGATCATTGAAATCCCGGCTTGCACATCGCAGTCGAACCTTGCTAACACCAACAACATCTGCCAAAGTTGCCTCCCTTCCCACATACAGGACACTTGGAATTCGCCACTCCCATGCTGAGTTCCGTCAGTTCCGTCCCATCTACATGCCTTAAACATCAAAGACTACTGCAGCAATGGCTTTCGACAAACATTAGAGTCATTAGAGGCACGAGTTCTCTTGTTGAGCCTCTCTTGCGACGCGTTTTAAGGAAGCGCGGTTCCCCCAAGCCCGCAGTCAGCCCGCACCATTAGACTACCGCAGACTGGGCCTTTTCGTGAAACGATGGAGTGCTGGAGAAAAGTTGACTACAGTACTGACGGCTTCCCTTCTTTCGCCCCTTTTTAGTCCAAGCCGCATTGAAACGGATCGTGCCGGTACAACCATGCACCGTGCAACTAACCTAGGGGCGGCCTAGAACAATGACAGCGTGAACCCAAGCCACTCGGCCCAAAATCTTTTCGTGTTCTACTATCCGACTCAGTCACCCTCTTGTGGCACCACTCCTCTTGGATCCTCTTGGTGTCTTCTAGAGCGGAGATGCCTCCAATAGCTGCCGTATCATCTACAACCGACACCATCTTAGATGTATATACTTGCTTGCGTCAGATCTGCAAGGCCCGTGAAAGAGTTAGGGCATGTCCTTCTCACCGTGGATGCTACAGCATCAAGTCTAAGAGTCTAAGTGCAGCCCGGCAAACGCACCATGCGGTGCTTGCGAAGGCTCACATCACATCGCAACAAATTTGTCTAGGACAAAAGTTACAAGCTCGACGCTTTCATGAGGAATCGGTGCGAAGGGAGTGGCGCAGGTTTGAGCCTGCCAGGCATGAACCGCTTCGCAGGCACCGTCGCTTGCTATTCAGTGCAACCAAGTCTCGACCTGACGCCACTTGGCTTCCCTGCATGCTTGAAGTCACGGCGACAAGGCAGCGTTGGCATACATCTATCGGCCCGTACCAACAATAACAAAATTGAAAGAACAGGAAAACCTCTATGCCTCTGTGCGAACGGTTGACTGGAAATCTGGACGTGTAGCAAGGCAGTATGCCAGTCTTCTTCGCGGCCACATTCCAGCAGGCGGGGCATAGCTCAATTCCACACATCGCCAGAGCCTTCACGGAGCTACGGTACGGTACGAAACACGGAGTGAGGTAACTGCCAATCTGTCAAAGCAATTACCAGCAGACACTTGGAGTTCTCAAACCTGCACAAAGGTAGCTGCGGAATGCTAGCACCAAGACGCAACACCAAGTGCTCTGGCTCAGCTTTTCTGGAAATAAGCACATAGAAGTGAAGCCAGGCCGCTCATGCATGTCGCCAGCATTCAGCATGCCACGGGTCTTAACCTTTCGGGGATACTTCTCCAGTGGAGGGTGGGGAAGTGCTAGCAGCCCTTGCCTCAGCAGGTCGAAGGTCGGTCTCCCGGTGATGCAACTCGACCAGCGGTAGGAAAGCTCTCCTTGGAAATCGCCCGCATGTTGCTCTCCCCCGGCCGCAACAAAGTCACCCACATCCTCCGAGGCTCGCTTGCAAGCGATCCTTCTTCGCCCTGCAAGGAAACACATCTGGACTCCAGAAAGCTGGAAAACCCCATTGAGGCGCCTTCCAGGAGCTGACTTCCCGTGAAGATCCGGCAAACCTAGCTTCTCACGAGCTGGGGTTTCTAGCATTCCAGCCGTGCTACGAGTTGTGCGTTGCGTTCATGGCGGTCTGAGCGATGGTAAACACAATATGCAGAAGAAGCCCTATCAAGTAAGGGTTTGAAGTTAAACTCAAGGGACTAATTGGAGGATGCACCAACTTTCAGACTTCTCTACCACTACAAGTTGACCTCCTAGGATAACAAAGAGGATGGTATGTCGGATCATACTACCGAAGGACAAATTGACAAAAGTTCGCCAGTCACACGGGCTGTAACTCAACATATGCAGCACTGGAGCCCCCTTTCCCCCGTAGACTCCTCACACAAAATCCCAAACCCTCTTCGTATCTCTCCGTCGAGAACTACATAGTAGTATGATGATTTTCCAGGACATTGATTACTCCGCCATGCAAAACGGACCTGCGGCCACCCCGCTTCTCCGCGGCATATGTTCATGGCGTGCTGATAGAATAGCACAAACTTGTCCCAAAAGAAGTATAGCACTACCTTTGCACTTTGGAACGCTCTAGGCACGGCGAGGCACTTTGCACCTTGAGGCTGCGCATCTTTCCTGAAGTCGACGACATCGGGGAACGTGCATGTGGATCGATGCGATGAGGCAGGCACAGAGGATCAGGAGGAGGGTAAGGGAAGGCTGTAGATTTGCGCATTACATTAATAACATTTCTGTATGCATAACCTGACCCATCTATGCCTATGAATGTGTTAAACTTGTTGCTGTGCCTTCTCTTTGTGTCGAACCCTCTCGTTTACACGATGCCGTTTTCCGAAAGCTCTCGGTTGGGCCTAGGCCAAGGCACCAAGGAGGGGCCGGGAGGTCTTCTCCAGCACGCTGCTCGGCGGCTGCGCTCGCTTCTTCGGTGGATCCAGAATGGCTGTCACCAGCGGGTGCTCTGGCGGGACACCTTCGAGGACACGGCTGACTGCAAACTGGAGGCGGGGAAGCATGGTTCTGGAAAGCATTGCAAGTTTGTCTGCACTTATGGAACTTGCCTTTGCAAAGATGTAGTCGGCTGCTCATAACCTTCTCCACACATGACTCGAAGCTCTGTCGAAATGAATACGGCAAATGCCGCATCTTCGCCCGGCGTATTCGATAGACCTGAGAGTGTCAACAGCCAGAAGAATGCCGACGGCTTAAGTTGCTGTCAACTGCGCGCGCAAGTCGGCCTTGCAAGGTGTGGAGGCCACAGCTGCTGTGAACTCCTCTTCGACTTTGGTAAAGGACGATGCAAAACAGGCGCCCTCCTGAGCCGAGAAGAACCACGGACTGTTGCGAAGAGGCAAACAGGCAGTCACCTGGAGGAGGCACATCCGGTGCAGCCCCGCCCTTGGGACCGCCTCGTCGGAGGACGCCACTGGTTTCACAGTGAGGCCAAGGCAGGGCTTGAACGCTTTGTCAGAGCCTTGTGGGTGCCCGCTTCTCGGCACAGGAGCTCCACGGCTCCGCTGCGAATGAAATAAATGGAACCATCTCCTCTCACGACTGCGCTCAGATCTCCGGCAATGGCTTGCTTCTTTTGGATTCAGCCGTCCAAGGCTGTCCCTTGCAGCACTTGTCCTGCACCGCCCTCTTGGAAGAAGACGTGATTCAAATTGAAGTTCTGCTCCTCGAAGCCTCGCTTCCGCCGAAGGGTCGCAATGATACAATTTATGGCTAAGCCAAACACCCGCAATCATGCATAAATGTACCCATGAGCAGCCACATACAGGCTTCATTGCGTATCTAGCTGCGCGAGGAGCATCTTAACATCAGAAGTTACAGAGACGCCTGAAGAAGGGATCTACTTCAAAAGAGCGCATGCAGACCGAGGGTACGCGTGCTTGCCATGCAGATCCATGGCAAATCAACCATAACACAATCAAGTGGAAGCAAGATATTCAATTCAGGGGCCCAAGAAAGGTGTAACTGTAACTGTAAGAGGCCTACTTCAGCACATACAATCATCAATGACACTTCGCGCGACACCTTGCCGCAGCCACTCCAAAAGCACGCGCAGGGTCTTTGTGCATGTGTACGAATGCCTGCCTAAGGGTACATGGCAGCAGTGGTGTCTGCTGTTCGTGTACACATGTATGCACTTGTATTCTTATCTTTATAAGCAAAAACATACGCATACATATGTTTCTCTATGTATATGTATACATACATATATATATATACGCATACATATGTCGAGACAGAGAGAAAGAAAGAGAGACAGAGAAATGCAAAGCATTTCAGCTAGAAGCTATGTTTACATGCCCGCCCATTCGTCTCGAGGAATATCGGCAATGTTGCACACATGTACGTATGTGCAAGCACCTGTGAGAACAATTAGAACGCCTATGGAAGCATATGAACATGTCTATGAATAAACGGGTACATACATGACCAAAGCCAGACTTAAATACATGCTGCACATTTATATTGGCGGACATTTCGATAGCATGCGTACAATAAACTGCTTTTGTAATATAGACTGCCCGCACGGACAAAACTAGCGGAATCCGTCGGTGTATACACACAAGAACAACTCATCGGGTCTTATAGAATCAGCGCTGACATAGGAGCATACATAATGTCTTGCATGTAACCATATTCAGTGTTTGCAGCATGTATCTCTACATGTATATATAGGCCTGCATATCTGTCTTGAGGAATATCGGCAATTCTACACACATGTACATATATGGAAACACCTGAAAAAACAATCAAGATACATATGGACACATCTATGAATAAATGGGGACATACATAACTAAGTGCAGTGCCTTTTTCTTCCAAGTTGGAGATTGCAGCAAATATCAAACTAAATATGAGTTGCAAAATTTCCTCGTGAATCGCACCAGACAGGAATACCACAGGGTATGCAGATTCCTCGTGGAAGCCATGCCGCGCAATGTGAACCAGCAGCACAACCGCAAAGCAGCAGGTACTCAACAGAAACCCCCACAACAACAAAATAAAACACAATATTCATCACCATCCTACACATAGGTTTGTGTTTCTTTGCTGTGTGCGTGTGTGTGTGTGTGTGTGTCTGTGTTCTGTTGTGTGTTTGTTTCTCGTGGTTTTTGTTTACTTGGTGTCCAGACATGGTGTGTTTTTGTTTTTGTGTGCGTGTGTGTTGTTATGTTTGTTTTAACTGCTTGAGGTTTTGTTTGGTAAGCCGTCGTCTTGCAATGCAGCGACAGAAGCATGCAAGACGAATCTTACACCAAGTAGTATTCTCTTATTGCATGGCTTTGCTTTCTCTTCCCCTCGAAATATGACTAAGAAGAACATGTAGGTCAGTAGGGGGATCATATAACATATTTATACATGTGCGTGTGCATACATATATATATATACAGGGACCCGGGGAAGTGGG